CATTACTTATTTTCACTTATTTTCGCAATCACTGGCATTTTCAACAGTAATCATTCGCATCCGAAATAATGCAAATACTCGTCGCGAAGGCCGATTAAAGCAAGAGTGCCCCAAGGCTCTATTTTTAATTCCTTATTGTATTGTATAATGGTGACCAGACAAAAGCCCACTGGACGAAAGCGCACGCGACAAAAGCCCACAAAAAAGACCCCATTAGGATAATTGCCCAACCAACTAATACCCACACCGATGAAAGCGCACATTGATAAAAACCAGATTTTCCTTGAAATTGTAGCTCAGTTTTAAAGAAAGAAGTACCGGAACTCATCTTATTTAGGGCACCGATGCACTTCGGCTAGAATTGTAATTTATCATAAAAATTGAGGAGAATCTTGGGAATTGAGAGGAATCATAAAAATTGAGGGGAATTGAGGGAAGCCGGGCTCCGGTGCAATTTAAGCACTGGTCCGTAATCATAGTCACATAATGATAATGATAATCACAGTCACAGAATAGTCACACAATGAGAATGATAATCACAGTCACAAAATAGTCACACTATGAGAATGATAATCCCAGTCACAAAATAAACACAATATTTTACAATCATAATAACATAGGTAATAGTTTATAGTCGTAATACATAGTCCATCAAACAAATAATAATAAGTCACAGATGCAATAGTTAATCATAACGTTAATTCAATTCATATTTACAGTTATATATACATTCAATAGCAGATGCTGCCGAGGCTACTGTCTCGGACCTTCATAACGTTAATGTCACATCACATTCTCATAATACATTTGAGAATAAAACTTGCAGGACGGACTCTCCTGCTTGAACCACTGAGGATGTAAAGGGTGACCCAGTGTCATTTTCAGAGCGTGGACAAATGATGGGGGCCTTCGATTAATCTCCAATACGCAGCCAGTAAGGTTCTTCGGCGGCACGATTTGAGAATGGTCTGTTTGCAAGGAGTGCGCAAGAAGACGTTTTCGTGTAGCCACCAAACTCTTCGTTTCTTGGGAAAAAAATTGAAAGCTTTTAGATTACATCCTAAAGGGTCGTGATTTTAACGTTTTGTGAGTTACCTTTATTTATTCAATATGTTCTTCGTACTTAAATCATAGAACTCAATTCAACAGCAATATCACAAAGTACTTAAAAAAAAAAACATATTTTTAGAATTTCCGATACACAGTCTCGCCCGTTGAAGAAAACTTTTTTTTTTAGTACAGTGTTGCCGTTGCTGGCTTTGAAATCGTTGAGTTTGTTAATCAAACATTCTTTAAATTTTTACAAAATATGAAATAGATAATAAAACAGATTCCAAATTAGAGTTTCCAGATGCCCATATTCGAATGGAGGACTACGTGATTTAAAATTTGATGGCTATAAGTATTGTTGTTTTATCACAAAGCGAGAAACATAGATACATCCACGCAATTTCTTCATTATTTAATTTCTTTAAATATAATGCGGGCTCTAATATTTGGTAGCAACAATTTGAAAAGTGAAACCCCGTTTATGATGAACCAAAATGCCAAAACGAAATTCGTAGCCTTTCTGAGCAAATTGCACCTTTGGTCTAAAAAAATTACTTTCAGCTTTTGTTTGGCACTTAACCAGACGTTAACCCTCTTAGAAACTGTTGTTTCACAGCAACTTAGAGTCCATTACTGGTACAGTCCATTACCGCCAGATTTTTGATCTACAAAAAATGCATACGAATATGCGTTTTTAATATTCAGTGTATAATATTGAAACTTTTAAGCAGTGATTGAATGCATGACATTTCGTACCCGCAGATAACGCTGCACCTTTATATATATATATATTCCATATCTTTTGATGCGTCATCCGCTGAAAATATCGCACGAAACAACAACGCAAGAAGACAACGTCGTCGTGCAACACGTTATGGGAGAAAACACTGAAGTTCTAAAACATCGTAGTGGTAAACAAAGAGGCTAAAAAATATCGCAGTTTTAAAACATCGTCGGAGATAATATCATGGTAAAAAATAAAGCATCTAAAAGTCATCGCATGACGGTAATATCGCTGACATTTTGTTTTTTATATTTTAAAAGTTGTAAGTGGCTACTTGCGCAGTGATTATGAAAGCAAGAAGAAATGAGGAATACCGTTACTTAAATATTTCATATTTTTGGATTAATTAATAACATTTTGATAAAAAAGCAAAAAGAAAATTACTAAAAGGTACAGAATTTTTATATAAGCATCATCTTCTCATCTTCCCTTTTCTAATTGTTTTTAGACTATATTTTAGACTAATATATCTTTGTAAAAGAGAATTAACCTTTAAAAAGTATCCATTATATGCTATGGAGTAGCATTAATTTTCTACTCGTTCTCAGTCTTTCAATGCTTAAGTTTCCTCCTCGCGTTTTTAGCGCGATTATTATTAAACTAAAAAGCCCGGCGGTCATACGAAATGACCGCTGTTCTAGATATTATAAATTGTAATTAAAATGATTTGTGCAAAGGTGTCTGCTGATTCAAACAGAATTACCCAGGGCAGGCGGCGAGGACGCCTCTTTGCTTACTACCCCACGGGGTTTCCCCCTTCTACTTGCTTAATTGCTTAAAGCAGAGTGCAATGAAGGAAACCACTGGCTGTACATTTCTTAAAAGCCAAGCCTAGCTTAAGAAATAAAGGTGATTTAAATAATAAAATGTTAATTCACATGTCAAAGATCTCTTTGTACACAACATTTCTTGTGTAGATCTTTCCATCATTTTTAAGCTCGCCTTGCAAAGGACATCCATTATTTTTAATTTTACGTCCGTTCTTTTACGAACTCTTGAACAGGCAACATAGAGTTGACCGCGTCCAAAGGCAGGCTCAGGTAAAAAAATGCCAACGCGCTTAAGCGTTTGTCCCTGAGACTTACTGATGGTCATAGCAAAGGCATTGTTACAGGAAATTGTTTACGTCTCAATTGAAACGGCAATCCTGTGCCGTGGCAACTTCACCCCATTGGCTAGTACAGTTATGCAAGAAACCAATAAATTATCGACAACAAACAGACACTTAAGCCGCATATAATAAAAATATTTATTTATTTCATTTTATTTGTTTTTTCATCGTTTCCGGTTTTTGCCGAATTCTATTATATATAGATGTCAAATTTATTCATTAAATGTTCAATGCACGGGCTCTTGTATTTTAAATTTTTCCTGCTTAGCTTTCTCATAATATTCGTCACGCGCTGCACTGCACGGGGAATAAAACAATTTACAATTACGCAAGCAACCAATAAACTATCGGCGAGAAACACTTAAGCCGCTTATATATGAGGTAATAATCGCGCTAAGTATAAATCCAAAAATGTAAAATAGAAAGGTAAAAGTATTCCTCTTTCCTTCTTGCGCTCAGAAATTATTACGCTAATAAACATTTAGACCTCTTAAATCCTGAAAATCACGTCTGGGATGTTATTCGGCCTGCGATGATTTGTAGGTGCTTTATTTTTTACCAAGATATTTTCTTCGACGGTGTTTTAAAACTGCGATGGTTTTGAACCACGATATTTTATACTCCGTTGTTTTAGAACCGCAATACTTTCTACTTGCTTTCTTTTATCCCACGATGTTTTCTCGACAGCGTTTTCGCCTTGTACTGTTTTCTCCGCGACGTTTTCGTTAGCGATGTTTCCGCTTGTAACCTTCGATATTGCAATAAATATTTCCCGCAGGTGGCAATACTTTCTCCTCTTTTGCCAAGACACGAAAGCTGCGAATTAAAAACAACAAATTATTTAAGAGTTTTCTTTGAGATCTTTAAAATTTTCTATTATTCAATCACCTCGTTTAATTTCCAAATCAGTGTCCCCAGCAACATGATTGAAATAAATGATGCCACTTGTAACAAATATAAAACAATGCTGTTCCTTATAACCTATGTTTATTTTTGTAGATATTCGCTTCCTTGTTTACGCGAACTTTCCTAATCTTTATATTAGGGTTAAGAACATAAATCTGCCTATTAAAGAGTTTTATACTCAGTGGTTTGGCAAGCAGCTTAGAATCTTAGAGGCATTTGCCCTTTGCTGAATCTGTTTGCCAATCCAATTGGACAGAATCCAGTTCCTGTTTGTACTTCGATAGAGATAACCATTCATGTCAAGTGCTGGACCACACGCAAAACAACAGACATGCGTATTCAGCACAGATATCTTAATATAGTTGTTGTAGCGAGAAACAGTTTTTTTATTCGAAACCATTTCTCCTTAACTGGGTTGAATTCATTTTTGTCATGATTAAATCTCTGTTATTAAATAATGAAGAATCTGTATGAAAGCATGCTATGTATGTGTGCTCTCCGCAGTCTGGGAAAACGCGACACTTGGAGCCAAAAAATTTTGTACATTCATAGTCTCCCACCCGAACATGCGACCCTCAAAGCGCGAATGTTGAATTTCGAGCTTTATTAATATTTTATGTTTTGTGCAAACTTTAATATATAACTCAGCGATTTAAAAGATATGTATTGCCATTCACCAAAACGCGATATATTTACGTTGAATTTAATTGGAAAATTCAGCGGTTTAAAAGAAATATATTGCTACTCGGAAAAGCATATGAATTTGTTGAATTTGTCTTTCAAGTTTAATCAGCAAACTCTGCAATTTGAAAGAACTTTGTTGTCAATCCCCGAAATAAAATATTTGTATCTCCCATGCGCCAATGAATCGCCATTCGACAAAGCGTAAGACAGTTGATTTTATTTTCGAACTGAATTTGTTATTACTGATTAACAACTAATCGATTTAAAATCTTGATTAATGACTAATCGATTTAAAAGCAATGTTCTTGATCTCTAGCATTATTAATTGCAAGCTGGATCTGTGAAATGATACAAGCTGGGCTAATTAAATCATTAAATATTTGAATAGCTTGAATAATGAATGAATAGCGCTTGAAATTAAACTATTAAGTATATTTTGGGTTAATGATTTTATTCTTCCCATAGATGAAAGTTTGAACAGAACGGTAACTGTGTCTTTAGATGGCGAAGAAACGGAATTAGAAATTGTAGAATGTAACCAAATGGAGGACAAGGTAAGACTACATTTACCTTTTAGCTTGTTGAGTACTTCATGTTAATTAACCAATTGTTATGACTTAAACCTTTACTGTATTTTCTCCTTTCTGCAGTTCTCATTGGGATGCCAATTAGATGATTTTGAATCCCCAGTTTTGAATGTTTTAGAAATGGAGCTTTTGGCAGCGTCGCTTGCAGTGTGCATTCCATCGCACAGCTCTGATAGTGGATATCCTGGCTTTAGCCATTCTGTTAGCAGACTTTAAATTACGCCGTGAAAATAGTGAGCTAGCTTAAATAGGCTAATTTTTGCAATCTGCGACGGGATATTTATTTTTTCAGTCTGCTACTGATTCAGGACTTTATTTGCACGCACAAGTTGTGCTTTTTGTTCACCCTTTTAATTTTTTGTCTTAATATTTTAGATGAAGCGATAACTTACTTGTCAGTCTAAAACGGCCCAAAGAGCTTTGAGTTAATTTTACACAATTAGGACCTATAAGCCGCATCAAAATCCTATAATTTTTGCATTTGTTTAAATACATAAATGATAAAATACATGATTCAACGATAAATAAGTTTCAGTACACTTTATTTCCTAAAAAATATTTTCTATTCACTATACTGAAGTAAAAACTGACTTTTATTACATTTAGATGCTCTCGTGTTATCGAATGTAGTGCGTCTAAACAGGAATCTCATAAACGCTTTAGAATCGTACCTATTTGCTTCTAACTGTTCTAAAAGATGGAACAAAGAAAAGGGATTCCTAGTACATTATTTCTCAAGCAATTTTCAAGAGAAAATCACTTTTATAAATTTGAAGGTTTTGTGGACCATCTTACTCTTGTTTCCTTTGAAACCAAATTTTTTAGCATATCTTAATACAAAATGACTTATATTTTTAAAAGGTAATTAATTCAAATTAATTAAATTTTATATTGTTATTATTAAATACTCAAGTTAATGAAAGAAAATTTATATTTGTTTTTAATAATTGAAGGCTACTAGAACTTGAGTAATCTTTATATTATTAGCTATAAACTAAATAAATGTTGGTACTCACAATTAATGAGATGGATGAGCCTATCGATTTTGCATAGCTATTTATGTTTGTATGTATGCTATTAAGAAGCACCACAGTTAATGTGCATTAAATTCCTCTTTCGTTACTAGAGTGAGAAGTGAAGTCCGTAGAGAATGTAAACGGTGGCGTGGTATATGGCGTTAATCTGAATTTTATATTTTATGATTTTTGGAAATCTACGAGGACCACAACATCAGGTTCGGAGGGCTACAGATTGAGAAACGCTTTTCTATAGGAATACAATGCAACATTAAATAAAAATATTATAACTATTAACAAAAAAATAGTGATTTAAAATATAAATTTGTTTAATAACATAACAAAATAAAATTTAAAACTTTTAGCGAATTTTCAAAATTTTTTCCTGTAACACATGCTTAAGGAAACCGCTATCTAAAGTAAAGATACAAAGTTTCATGTGTGTGCTTTAAATTTTATTTATTCACATATTAATCATTTTGTAGAAATTGTTCTAAATTTTATTAATAAATTAGTTGAATACGTACCTTTATGAAATCTAATTTAGCTTATTTTTATGTTAAAAAATTAAATTTTTCATGTTTTTTTAATTGGCTGCGTTCACCAAAATAAGTATCCCATAAAACTGCTTAAAAGTAAACAGTGAATGTATTCTTCACAAATTTTGAATGAAGATTTTTGAATTTAAAGATGCAATTTATACCAGAATTTCTAACTATGCAAATATAAACGCAAAACATAAATGAATACGATGAAAAATAAAAGATACTGAACGAAACTTGAGAAGATACTACAATAAATGCCTTTTTCTAATATAGTGGAAATACGAACCGCCTTGAATGGTTCACGAATGACTTTATAAGGTATTTCTCCCGCCTTCTTAGCATGCCTTTGTGGTGTAATCGTCAGCACACTCGGCGCGTATTCGAGAGGTCCGTGGTTCGAGTCCCGGCGAGGGCATTGTTCATTTTTCACGTCTCCAGCTTCAAAATACCTAATGTCTCTACAGTGGCGCCCAAACTAAAAAGGTGGTGCATGATGATTCTCCACCACTAGGATTTGGCGATTGGGTTCCCTAATTCACAGTCGCCCTTTAAAAGGGGGAGTATATAAGGTGTATCTCCCGCCTTCTTAGCATGCCTTCGTGGTGTAATGGTCAGCATACTCGGCGCGTATTCGAGAGGTCCATGGTTCAAGTCCTGGCAAGGGCATTGCTCATTTTTCACATCTCCAGCTTCAAAATACCTAATGTCTCTACAACTTGATCACTAACAAATCGGTTTACAAACAAGTTTTCCAAACGAAGATTGTACTGGATGACGAACGATGTCCCCAGATAAACAAATAAGCCGTTAGCGAATTATACTCCAAAATGAAGTTAATGCAGTGGAGGAAATATCTTCAGAAGAAGAAGACAGAAGAAAGAGGCTCCCAGTTATTTTATCCGAGAAATATGGGAAAAATAGGCTAAGATGCAAAAGTCCATAGAACACTAGTATATATATATATAAATATATACTAGTGTTCTATGGACTAGTATGATAAACGTAAATAAGCCAGCCAGACAAACGAGCTGCGGCCAAAGCAAAACTTGTATGTTCTATGAATGCCTGAAAAGAAAATGTGTAAAAAAATTTCAATATAAATGAAATGAGTTCCTCCTTTCCAAGCAACATCCAATTCGTAAATAATTTTTTTGTTGCCAAACCAGGAAACAAAAATTTTTTATACTTCAGGTTAGTTCATATGACGTCATTTAATGTAATATAACAACCTTTTCTCAATATCAATAAAAACATAAACTTGACAATTACATATCGCATCATTTATCCTCACCCGCAGTTAAAAAAATGACAAGCCACGGCAGTTATTTATTTAAAATACTGACATTAACGAAACATTTCTTACTTATAATGACATCGCATGCAGTCGTGTGCTTTCTTCAACGTCAGAACATGACCTTATATCATAATAATATATTTAATATTTGACAATGCTATTTTTAAACCATATTTTGTAAAACTAATACATCTGTAGTGCTTTGGATAGTCGGCAATACCGTTGGGGCGGTTCTGGCCTGGCGAAAAATCATCCTATCTTGCTTCGCATTTGCGCTCCTTCGCCTTCCAGAACCTTCTTTCGTCGGCAGTTTCCTTGTCGCAACCATTGATGCCAACGTCTTTGCATAGCAGTGTCTGTACTCTGGAGGCGGCGGTCTATTGTTCGGTATGATTATCCAGCTTAACGCAACCCTACAATGCGACTGATTACGTTCGAAGTCGTTTTAGTTGTCTGTGAGGTCTTAGATATCGTCGTAATGGCATCTTTAGTTGCTTCTTTACGGAATTACAATGGCAGCAACAAAAAAAGATAAATTATACACCTCTGTTACTGGTTTTATACTTTGCGAATTGCGCACTAGAAATGCGCGCTATGATAGCGATTCCTGTTCATTTGCTTTGAAAGTTTGATCATTTGCATGTTCGATCAAGATGGCATGTTCGATCAAGATGGTCCTTCTTGGTGCTTCGATTGTTTTGCAAAAGAGTGTATTTTCATCATCAGAAGAATCTTAGACGTCAACATTTTTTATTTTACTTTCTGTTACAATAACTTCATCATTTATATTTTCGCATGTGGATTATCATTATATCATTTGGACAGTAAACCAAAAGGAGTTTCTGATGGTTGATTCTGTTATAATCTGCTCAGGTGGTATAGTGGTTAGGAAAGTCGATTGCGATACCAAAGGTCCAGAGTTTGAATGGTTGTAACTGACCGTCCCGTCATAGGAAGCGTAGGTGTCTCACCTATATAATGTGCCTCCATAATAACGTTACCACAGCTTCCAGTCTTAGTAGTGGTCAACGTCTAAATGATGACTTGTGGCCGCCATTGGGAGAAACAAAATGATTCTGTAACAAATGCCCAAGACTTTTCTACCGCCAGCATCAAACGTTGTAATCGACGCATGTGTCATGCTTCTCCTAAATGTTTAAATCCAACTGCTACCTGTAGCGATATTTCAAACTCCTGCTCCTCTACCTCTGAATAGCGAAAATTTTTAAATTTCCATCATAGCATCATCCTTGAATAGAGCGTTGTCTGGCAGCTCAGTCGAAGAACTTGAATGGAATCAAGGAACCCATTGACATTCTTTGATTTGATGGTGTTTGAAGATAAACTTACTGCGTTCTCGTTCTCCTAGAATTAAATTCGCACCTGTTTTGCAGAGTCTTTGTTTAGAACATAAAGAAAAGGGTTACATTCGAAAACATAGAGGCAAAAATATCGCGGAGGAAGTCGTCGCTGGGAAAAACAATGTAAGGCGAAATCGTCGTGGTACAAAAACATCGTGGGAGAAAATAAAGAGAAAACATCGCAGTTCTAAAACATCGGGATACAAAATATAGTCGTCGAAAATAAAGCGGTTCATAAACTTCGCAGGTTAAAAACATCGACATCGAAAATATCGTGGTAAAATATAAAGTACAGTAGTAAGACCCCGCTTAACGCTGTTTCGTTTAGCGCTGTTTCGGTTTAGCGCTCTTTTATTTCAACCCGGGGATTCCCCGAAATTGTGCGCAGCGCTAGGTTTCCAAATAACATATCCGAAACAATGTAGTTGTGTTTCTTGTTTGGTGTGGTGCTATACGGACGCGTTTTTATCATTTGAAACATTTGTTGACATTATTCTAAATATAAATTTATATAATACTATAACGATTAATACAGTGACAAATATTATCATGGGTGATAACAAAAAACAAGAAAAGAAAGCAACCAGAAAAGCATTTCACTGGAAACTAAAATGCAAGTGATTAGAAGATTTGATTCTGGTGAACGTCTCAAATTAGTGCTGCATTGAATTTGGCAACTTCAACAATAAGGACAATTCTTAAGAATAAAGAAAAAATACTGTCATCGGCTACTGCAACTACGTCAAGCTCT